CTCCGGCGATGTGGTCGGCGACGTTATCTTTCCCTTCATTTGTGGCTACTTCAACTTCTCTGCCAAGTTATAGGAACCTTAGATTCCCAAAGATTCAAGCTTCACTCTCTAATTACCCTCTCGCGAGCAAAATCATGGTCAGAAGTAAGTTTCTTCCTTTTGGACTATCCTTTGGTTTAGATTCGAATTCGCTTCTGTTATTATCCATGAAGAAATTCTGATTCTTGTTTGAAGAAAAAACGGAGGATTTTGAGTCAGGATTGTGTTTGTTTATGTCGTTATAGTTTCTGGAGATTTTAGAAATCAGTTTCTTGTTCTGGAACTTAACAAATGTCATGAAATTGAAGTTTCTTGTAACTTCAATTCGCTGATTTTGTTATGTTTGTAATGTTTCTTGGCTTTGAATTTGCAGATTTACCGTTTTCTACAAGTGAAGATTTTCTGCAGAAGGAGTTCTCAGCTTTTGGGGAGATAGCTGAAGGTGTGTTTTTGCACTTACTCTGTTTCTTCTTGTGTCGAAATTCAACATTTTTGCTTTGGGTTTTATAAATTGATATGTTCACTTTTACTTTTCGAAACAGTTAAGCTTATCAAAGATGAGTCAATGAAGAGATCAAAAGGTTATGCCTTTATTCAATTCAAGTCACAAGATGATGCTTTTCTAGCCTTAGAGACGATGGATCGTAGGGTAAATGCTTCTTTTCGGCTCAATCGTGAATTGGATTAACGTTTTCTATGTCGTGAAACTAACCAAAATGTTACCATCTTGTTGCAGATGTACAATGGCAGGATGATTTATATAGACATTGCGAAACCCGGGAAACGTGATTTCCTAGCACAACCGAGAACTTCTGGTCCCCCTGAGAAGCTGCAAGTGCCAGAACAAGCCGCCAATGATGAGGTTGCTGATTGCTGGTATTAATTGTTAGCACCAAAATGTGACCACTGTGGTCCGAACTTGCATAGACCGCCTCACATTATATATATATGATGAATGAAAGAATAATTAGTCAAATCAAGCTTCTCGTAAGGAAAATGATCGATATGAAGAATGTTATTTTACTGATAAACAATTACTGACACGGTTCCAGTTACAGCTCTATCAGTTTCTACCACTACCACATTGTTCGAAACATTGGTCACTGCATTTGCAGGAATCTGTCCGGATTCAGCGAAAAACGAATGCTGGTAATGGTTTATCCTGTTTGCGAATACCAAAACAGGGGAAAAATCAGCCACCCACCTTGTCTCGTTCGCGGAAACCTTTGACTTATCGGTTGTTGATTTTAACATCATCCCTGATGCATTGTTCTGATCAATCAAAACTTGATCGATCTCATGAAACTCGCCTTTTAGCTTGACTATCGGGAAATTTATTCTCGAGGTTCCTCTAAACATTTTATTGACGATGTTTAGCCCGGTAATCTTCCCGTGTACTGATCTCAAGACGATGTACGCATCTCCTAGGAACAGAGAGTTTGTGACATGAACTTGAACAGGATCTTCAATGACTATACCTGTGTAATCGAGGTAACAATTGTCTACCCTTGTTAAATGTGATTTCACTAGAATGCCGATTCCACCAAACCATGTGGCTTTATTGTAGCAATGCACGCCCTTGATGATATTTGCCACACCATTCAACGAAATACCAAGCCCTGCTGAAAAAATAACTACGTCGGTTATGGCATTATCATTACTCGAGATATCGATTCCTGTCCCAGAAAATTGTCTTTCTTCTCGGTCTCCACCTACTGTTGAATGTTGCCCTAAGGAGTTTGAAATGTATGTCTCGTGACCTCCTTGGACTTTTTAATCCCCTGAGTTGTGATTGGAGGAAGTAGCAGTTGGTTATGCGGATACGAGCTGAGTCAGTTATCATAATACCCCCACCTTGGAAGCTTGAGTCAAATAAAATGTCTCGGAAGGTCACATCCTCAAAGAGGATCCTGGAGTTGGGTGGTACGAGTTCCACCAAATGCTGGTCACCAGGAAACACGTTCGATGCCCGGAAAGTCCCGCTTTTTACCTGAATTACACCGTAAAATGGGTAAAGATTCAAACTCTTATACAACTTTCTTAAGTAAAAACTCCAAATTTTTTGAAACAATAAGTGACTAACCACAAAATTTCCGCCGCCAGACGAAGGGAACTTGAGAGGTTTTCCGATCTTATAACTGCCACCTTGGAGATCAATAACGAGACCTCCTAGATCGGCTACACGAGGTAGCATATGTAGTCCAGTCTGTGACTGAAAAACATCGTTAAAAGCTTCAAGTATTGCGTCACTACTGTCTTGCTCACCTGTCGGGTCAGCTCCGTATCCAATCGGGTATATCACTTTCCCCACCTGCACAAACCAAACTCATACGCTCACAATTCATACACATGTGCGTGTATATATGTACAAACTGAATGTGTGAGGCTTACCATTTTGGGATAGGGAGAAGAAGGAGAAGACAATGGTGGGAGAGTGGGACTGATTGCGAGTTTTTCATGGATCTTCTGTTGGCATTCCAGAAGCTTTGTCGTGTCTCTTCAAATTCCAGTGAAATTGTGATGAGAAACAGTAACAAGCAAACAAAGCAGTAGAATCTCATTTGGCTTTTCTTGATATTTGTCCTCTTCCT